GATTTGTATATGTATTTTCTTGTATCTGTCTCTCAGTAAAGTATTGAAGTATCCGTTTTCTGACAGAAATTATTTTTTTATTCTCAATTATAATTATGCCTTTATTTATATTGTACTTAAGTAAATATGCCCATTTTATACAGTGAATAACTGAAAAAACTTTTTCATGATAATGTTAATGACATCTAGGGAAACTTGTTATTGGCTTCATTTAAGTTACCACTGTTCAATTATCGCAACTATGTTAAAGCTGTTGGTTTTCTTAAATAAATAAAATAAAAAGTAAAATTGTGTAACTGTTCAAGTCGCAATCAAAATTTTAAGTATATTAATGAATGGAGTAATGGAGTAAACTTAGACAGGCATCTCGTTTCTGTTTTACGAAAAAATGCCCCCGGCCCGAGTATGCTTGGTACCAAAGTTTATAAGTATGAAATTTTTATTATATGTCTTAATTTATTTAATAGAATATTATATTTGATCAATTTTACATTCAATATGCTATAAAAATAAAAATGGTTAAAAAAATCATTTTGATCCTGGCACTTTGACATGGTACTTGAATCCATGACCTTTCGTAATCCGGGTGTGTGCTCTAACCACTGAGCTAACCAGAACTTAACAAAACTAATGAATCTTTCAAGCACTTGTTTCTTTTTCACTGCTACAGAGCGCATTCTCATCTATGTTCAGGCAATCCACCCAAACAGCCGAAAGAAATATTTTTAACTAAATAAACGTTCGCTAAAGATGAAAATTTGCTCTATTTAATATATTTGTTTAATTTTGCATTCCAAATGCTATACTCAAAAATATTCTTAATGGAAAATGCTCAAAAAATCCAATTTTGTCAATTTTTAATTTCATTTAGTAAAACATTGCCCACATTGTGCGTTTTAAAAATGATTCAGAAACCTTGGTATCTCATAAATTTTTAATAAAGTCGTTGATGTAACAGGAAATTGATAGGTAGGAATAATATAGATTAAACACAATTTCGATCAGAATATTAGCTTATTATTTAAGTTTTTGAGTTTTCTTTGACATTAAATTGAATTTCGTAAATGACAAACTGATAAATGATACTGACATCATGAAAGATAGGTTTTACCAAATATGCAAAAGTTAACTGTTTGATAATTAATTTTTGTAACTCATTGCCGAATTGGGCATTGCATTTCAAAAACAACTATAAATAAAAAAATCACACAAACTTTTAGGAATACTTTTTAAATAAAATAAAAAAATATTTTTTTGGGTTCAAGTGCATGAAAGTCAATTTAAATTTGGAATCTTTATAAATCAAATCAAATCCATTTATTCAGTCTAAGATGTTACAAGTACTTATGATAGTCGAGAGCTACGCCACTGGTAAGTAAATCTACGGCGGAAGACCTTGTATCGAGAGAACTTTTTTCTCCCTGTTTTATTTCATACAGACCGTCAAGATTGAAAAATGACTTCATTAAAATATGAAGTCACTTTCCATTACAATATTAGAAAATTTATGAAGAAAAAACCGTATTTTCGTCAATCGAATTACATGTGTAGTCAAACAAGCTCACCGATAAATAATTTAATATACATAAAAATAAGCCATATTTATTACTAAGCAGTTTTGTCGTTTAAATATTCATGAACAGTATAATATCATTTATTGAATAGGCAATTCTAAATATGGGTCTTAAATTTAGGCAATAGTAAATTTAAAATTCCCATAAGAATTTTATTATAGTATAATTTTATTTTATTAGACCTTCACCCATAAATGTTGATAAACCCTTCTTTAGCCTGCATAACAGCTAATAATATGAAGCTTAAAATAAGTGTCTCAAGGAATCTGTGGGGCTGGGCATCTCTATGGATTGAATCGAACCGAATAGTGAGAAAAGGCTATGACCCACCACGCAGGCACAGTCCGGATCGGTGGGTGTTAATGACCGCAAATGCAGCCAATGCAGCAACCAACGGCTTAACGTGTATTCCAAAGCAAAACGGAGCTTAAGATACAAAATTTTGGCTATCCATCTTAAGTCCTGCCCATGCGAAAGTTGCTTAACAAAGTAAAGTATTCAATTATTCATATTTGGAAATAGTGTTGCTCCTACCATACCAAATATAGGTAACGCTTTGAGTCACATCAGAATCCTTTAAAACCAGTTCCAAAATTACGATATTTTTGTATTGCGCAAAATCATACGCAAGGATGTGCATTATTATTGGAACCTGTTGCTAAAATTTAACAGTAATATGTGATCCACTCAGAATGGTTAGAACAGTCGCCCGTATTGCGAAAGGCTCGAGTCCCAACTCGGCGTTGGTGCGTTTTTTAAGCATTTTTCATCAAAGATATTTTGAATTTAAATTGATCATAAATTTTCAACTTAAAAGCTCAAAATATTCGGCTGTATGGATTAATGTCTGAACATTGTTGAACCTATGTTGTCACTAGTACTCACTAGTAGTAAAAGTATCAAGTGCTTGAAAAATACGCCAGCCCTGTTGTGTCTCGGGTAGTTCAATGGTTAGAGCAGTCGGTCGAATTGCGTAAGGTCGTGGTTTCGAGTTGGGTTGTCGGAGTACTGGGTCTAGTGGATTTTTTAAGGATTTTTATAATAGATATTATACCCTTTATATAAACATAGTATTGCTTAGATTCTCAAGTAAGTAGTATTCGTATTATGGAGTATCTGCAACAAAGAAGAGACCAACATATCCGGAAACGAGGCAATTTGGATTTTTTTTTTAATTTACCCGTTTGGAAATCGATGTGAGCTACTCTAAGGAGGTCGTCAATATAATAAAATGTTTCTTTTCTTAGATTTGATACTAGTAGAAGTTGACCTAACGAACTTCGTACCGCCGTATTTTATTTATCCAGTCGACCTGAGGAATATTTTTATACATTTTCTTATATACAAACCTTGCCCTGACAAGGCACATAAAAGAATCATCTAATTTCTTCCAAAAAATAGTGCAGTCGTAGGTAAGCTATGCGCGTACATATATTTAGCTTGCACAATGATATATTCATATTTATCTTGTAAACGAAAAGTTTTTGAGAAATATGTAAGTTCAATAAATTTGCAGCCATTTGTATTACTGAAATTAAAAAACTGAAATACTATATTATTAAATAAATTTTTTCGTTATCTCTATGTGCCATTTTGAATACTAACTTACCAAACCCCATACCATATTAGATACGAAATTCCCCTCTCTCTTTAATGTCGCCATGCCCTACTGGGTCTATTATTGATTCTTGTAAATGTAACATCTGTATCTATCATGATATATATCGAAGTTTCATCTCGCTGTCTGTCCGCTGAGATCTTTTATACAACGAATATCAATATACAGTATAATTTAAGAGGAAGGTTTAGGTATATGTATGTATAATACAGAACCACGCGGGCAAAGTCGCTCGCGCAAAGCTAGTAATACTATAATTTTCATTTTACAATTGAATATTGAGAATTTTTGTGATAGGTTATGGCACAGTAGATAAATGTAAGTATACATATACTGTGGCTATAGATTCTAGTCTTCATCTTCCGTAACTGGGGTCCAGGTACGGGTAACCGTACCTAATTTTTTTTAATATCTATCTATGATAAAAACTATCCAATTTCTTTATAAGCAAATTCACTTTAATGAGTTGAATCTTTCAACTAATTATAAAATCATACGACGATCTGGCCTCGTCATCCGACATTGACATTTTCCCCTACACGATGTGTTAAAATTCAACTTGCGTTTCGAAAAATCCGTTCTTAGCTTATTTAGTCTTAAAGATCAAAATATGGAAATAAATAAAAATTGATTAATTTGTAATTTACATAATACAAATGATTTTACTTGATTTGGGCTGAGCAATGTTATTTTATAGTATTTGCAGTTACATATTTATTTTTCAGTAATATTGCTTGTGTTGTCTTTTTTTTGCTTTACCATTGAAATATAAATACGATATAAATACAACAATCAATTGTTTTACTAATCATATTTAAAAATAAGGTATTATTGACAAATATTGCATTCCCAATGCTATAATTAATTTTATAGAACAAGACTTAATCGACCTGAGATAGAAGAAAACTCTTTACGATTTGAGCGATTGCTCAAATCATCGAGCTATTTGAAACATTAGCAGGACTGAAGCATTTCTCAAGCACTCCTTGTTTTCTATAAAAGTGAGCTTATTTCCATTATTATTCAGTCAATTCACTGAACTAGCCGAAAAAAAAAATTTTTCCTAATGTATTGTGTGCAGGGTTTGCAAAAATCCGATATTGATAATAAATATCAGATATTTGATATTTATCGGAAATAAATATTTTAGGTGGACGGACGACATCGTCCGAGTCGCGGGCGGCCGCTGGATGCAGCTGGCGCAATGTCGTACGTCGTCGTGGCGTTCAAAGGGGGAGGCCTATGTTCAGCGGTGGACGTCTACCGGCTGATGATGATGATGAATATTTTAAGCCGCCAATGGATTTATTGAATATTTATTTATTTATTACATAAAATTAGTATGCGTGCGAGGATTCCCAGTAACGTTGTAGGGGAATAACCGACTTAATACCTACTTACTATAATAAACCTTGTTACGTAAACATAAGCATTAAATATTAAGAAACTAATCGTTCGTGGTACCGGCACATCGTGATGGTTAATTTTCTAGTTGAGACTCAATACAAAAACTAAGAAATATTATAAATATCGATTGATATATAATAACGTATATATCCATCGATATATATCATGATACATATCCGTTATGATAAAATATAAAAAATGTAGTCTTATATTATGTTTATTATAACTAGTATTGTAATTAATTTTACATTTACAGTATTGTTTTATATAAGATAAATACAAATTAATTAATCGACACGGAAAAAATCTTTCAAAAACTGATGTGTTAAGTTTTAATCACCCGCCTTAATGGACCAAACTATAATAAGTTGGAAATAGAAAAACACATTAAAAAAACTTACTGATTAATTTAAATAACTTGAGTAGATAAAAAATGTCACACTCTAATTAGCACTGCCTTTTAAGACAAACAAAAACCTTTGCACATTTTTTAATTTATTCGTTCCACATAATATTTATCAAGATATTTTATATAGTGTCGGCTTCTTCGTGCGACCGTCAAATGTTTACTGGCAAGTAAACGTGTGTTGATAACAACATAAAATTTCGTCCAAGCGTAATATATAAAATTGGACAATTGTACAAATGCCCAATCTTCCATTCATCATTTAAGACCTTGACTTATATGAAGCAAATTATCTACTTCAAAACATCTGTAAATTAAATATAAGTATTTTCTCATTTGCTACAAACTTAACTTTAATTTATTTACAGTGAAATCCAAAATTGAAGTTGGATATTTGTGTTTTTGTAATAATTTTAGGTGTAACTCCAGTTATTTATTTAATTATCTTGTATACCCTTATTGTCTTTGCATCATTCGTGGAAGAATCATTGACAAACCGTGTGTCGTCAATTATATTAGCATTTGTAAATTAATGCTTATATTTATGTTTTTTTTTTTGCTTATTAGTTATTACACCACGAAATTTGCAAAAGTCATCTGTGTCTTTATACTAATCTTAGCAAGGACTTGTTACTCTTTTTATTTTTATTAATAACAGCATCTGTGTATTATAACACCACCGGTTATATACCCACCGGCCGCCGGGGGTTTCATCGGCGTTATCGGCGTCAAAATCCAAATAATATTCTTAAAGCATTTTATTTACATACATCACAAAAGTATCTAGCTAAGAGAAGGGGCGCCACTGTGCTAATGTGCTTATTTCGACTTGCGAAGTTTCATTCTAAAATTTAAATAAAAAGATCAAGTTATAATTATAATTAATTTGATCAAGTTAAATAAAAAGACAGAAATTTATTTACGTAAAACATAATCACTAGAAAATATAAATAAAAATAAGGTACACTACCTAGAATAAAATAATATATGAAGGAAGTTATGCCTGCCCTAAAGTAAATCCCAGACTAGCTCGATAAACAATTCAGCTAATTCAGGAAAACGGAGAAAAAGTGATACAACATACTAAAAGTAAAACCAGATCAATTAAAAACCAACTAACGGCTCTTTATAAAGTAACAAACAAATATATAAAAAAAGACTCTACCACGTTTAGAGCACACATTATTGAAAACATGTGAGCCAAACAGGAAGCTCAAAGAGAGCCTACAAAGAGCTCAGAATCAATAAATCTAGGATTAACGTACTGAAAAAGATGGAACAGCTTTATGTTCCCGAGGTGACATTATCACAGTTGCCACAGATGATTATAAAAAACCTATACAGTGCTTAAAAAAATAAGAGCGATCAGATCAAAGATAATGCATTCTCTAAAGAATTTATACCTGATATAGAGGTTAAAAATCATTCTGTTAATTTAATTTAGTTTACCCAGGAAAGTATTACCAATTTTATTAATTCTGCAAACAACATACTGATAAAATCTATTAAACAAATAACACTATCTCGATAACACTAGATAAAACCATCAAGTGAGATCTTAACTGGTCGGACGATTATGGTATTACCGATTTTTCTCTGTAGCTACAACAAAGTAACATTGACGTGAAAAGTCCTTTGTTAAGGCCATCCCATTAATTCACTGTATCTAAGATATTGTTATTGGTTTCGTACGTGGTTTGTATGATTATAAAAATAGGAATAACCAAAGATAATTTTACCTCATGCAACTTTTTTATATATTATTTTATTTAAGTCTCTTAACTGCCTTTTTATATTTATGTGGGGTGTGTTCCATCCCACCTTATTTTATAGGATGTTTATGTTGCTTATGTTTAGTATGTACACACTGACTGACTGCCTTATCTTCATATTATCTCCAGTTATGGGTATATTGCTAGATATTTCAGCTCGAAATAAACAGTAGCCCCGTACAATGTTTTCTTAAAATATTCATATAATTTTTCTTTACGTCAAGAAAAAATGAAATATTTTTTTACACAGGTTGTGTGGCCACAAATCTATATAAATATTTTAATTTTACTTATACGAAGTGCCTCTAAGATAAGTTTTATTTTCCACTTTGTTGAAAACGGTATATACTATTTTTAGTAAAAAGTTTTACGTGAAAATAAAACAGTTATTATATGCAAAAACCTTATTCTAATTTATTATCGAATACCATTAGGTTATAATCGAATAGAATACCATTACAAATAGGTTATCGAATACAATTTTGCAAAGTACCGCCATTAATTACTCTTAGATCTCGAATAACGGTTCAGCGCATATAATAATATATTTATTTGATGGTAACATAAAAATGATGATTTGAATGATCAACATAATAAAAACTTAATTACATCTGTCAAAATATTGCAGTTAGCATTCAACTCTTTACGTTTTACATTTCTTAATAGCTTTCAAGCATCTATCTCTTTGCTTAGACGATTATATTAACGATATTGTTAGTTAACTATCTTTCAGAAGATATCGCGATCGCAATTTCTAGCACATATAAAATAGTTGTAGCAAGAAGTTTCGTGAATATCTTTCAAATGTATAATTGAAAGGGAATGTGATGGATTTTAAAATTGGACAATTAGGCCCCCGACCTAATCTCGTTTTCATGTAGCTATATTTTTTGCTGTTTTTCATTTATACATGTAGGTATCTACCATCTTAATCATAAACAATGAATGGCGGTATTTTAAATAAATTGTACATTACAAGATGACTCTTCAATAATGAAATATTTAAGTAAGTATTGTCTGTATTTAAAAACGTCATGTTTCATGTGATAGGTTCGACATTGTAATGTTATAAAAAGATAATTGGATTACTGTATGGGGAATCGTATCCAGTTGCCCTATCACGATTTATAGGAGTTTTTTTTTTTGGCATAGTACTTACCTTAAAATATAAAAATGAAATTACTTCGTTGTTCTGTTCACCTGTCTGTTTGTCGAAATATACTTTGGCGTTTTATCGATGGATATTTATTAATATTAAAAAAATAAAATGTGCTTTTACAAGGACTTATGAAAGTCTAAATTCTATGCCATCCATGCCTCTATGCATTCGCATATCTACGGCGAGACACTTTATACCGAGAAGAACAGGCAAGAAACTCAACAAAGGTTACTTTTATCTCTCATCTTATTTATTTTCTGAAAAAAAAAATCATTATTTATATAAGGTTTTTTAGAAATATCAATACTTATAAAGCGCTTGTTTTGACTGATTCATCTTAACAATTTGTGAAGTAAACACTCACTAAGGGAGGATCTTTAGAAATAGCCGTGAAAGTTTGTATGTAAGTCCGTCAGTTTTGATGTTTATTTTATTTTTATACTACTAATAAAGTAATAGTAATTATTTCAGATTACGGTTTCAGCGTCTGAAGTTATTCTATTCACAAGGGTATCATACATAAAAATGAAACTTTATTTTAAGGCTACATGTTTCAGCGTTTGTCAAACAATCTATCTCGGTACAAGGTTGGAAAAATGAACAGTTTATATAGAAGAAAATCATGATATCCACGTGGGTGAAGTTACATCGAAAGTCGTGGGTTAAAAACTAGTGTCGTTCAAAATTTGAACGTATCCATGTTCTGATGAAGTCATTTCGTGGGATGGGTTTCGGAATGGGGTTTTTCCAATTTGTTTTTGTTATTACATTTAATATAAGCTTTAATAATACCACACTGTTTCTGATCTGTAAGATAACAAAATTGAGAAATAATACATTGTTTATCATTAATTTTTTTACGTAAAATCTCAAGGTCTGTGCTATGTTTATAACCAGTGCCAAACAATAGTCACATACTTATTGATATGATCAGTCTATTAATGTCCCTACTCTTGGGTTACAAGCTTTCCCTATGTATGGAAACAGCAGTGATATTTGAGCTTTTGGTACTTATGAGTTGTTTTGACGTTTAAAGTTACACTCAACGGCGTCAACTTGAGCGCGTCAAGATTTTATTATGGAATCCGGTACAGCGCCCCTAGCGGTAATTACCAAGAAGTATGAATCTTCATACAAATTTTAACGCGCTAACTAGTGAACGCGTTAGCGTAATACTTACGCTTACCACTCCGTTATAACCATATTCCTCGAAGTGTGAGCTAATAGGCTAGTTGACAACTTTTTTTTTATTTCATAAATAAATAGTCCATTAACATCTGAGAAATAATGTCGAAGTAACAGCATGTCTGCGATTAATAGTTTCGGAGATACGGTGCTGTGTTTGTAGAACTGCTGCTAGGTGGCCGAAAACGCTACCTACAAATTCAAGGCACTCAGTGACGTCACATGGTGCTACAGTAGCGAAAAATGTAAGGGCGTCTGGAACATTTTTGTAATATCTTTATTATTTGTGCGTTTATGTTTATAGCTGTTATAATGAAAGTTGTAACATTTTTTATATCTAATTTAATGCCTTATGTATTTTAGCAAATTTTAGTAGTAGATTTTCTCTACTTTTTTCAAGTTTTCAAAGCGTAATATTTTCCAAATCAGTGACTTAAAGTTTCTTTTGTTAAACATTTATAAGTTAAAATGGTTCATATTTTTCGAAGATATAACAAAAACCTGTATTTTCACTTGTAGGACACAAGCCTATTGTCTAAATTAAAAATCTATTGTATTTCATTTCGGAACGAATGACGGTAATGACGGACGGACGAAATAATATAATAAAGATAATTAAAATATATACAAATCAATAATACGCAGCTTATTTACATGACAGCAAAAGACCCAGAACAGGAGAATAACATGTCAACAAAAAAAAAATATCGCATAAAAATATCTCACCGACATACTGGCCAGTTCGTAACATTTGATCATATTATATTCACACATTCATTGGTTAGAACAGTCGCCCGGAATGCGAAAGAGCATGGGTTAGAGTCCCATTTCAGATTGCCAGGGACAAAGTAGATTTTTAAGCGTATTTCAATCAAGAATATTGTAGACATAATGTAAAATCGAGAAAATAGTTTCGATCTTCAATTGATTTTTGTTATATCAACGAACGTTTGGTATCCAGTTATCGTATTATTTATTCGTAATACCATTTAAATTGTAGTCATGATGTCAAGTTGAAAAAAAAACGAAGCTAGTTTCGATTGTTATCAAAGACTTGAATGTGTAGTCTTTGATTGTTACAATGATTTCTATGAAGTCAAATGCAGAGTCATTCATTAAGATTCAAGATTATTAATGATAATTATTTACTTAAAACTATACACAAAAAATATGTAAAAATGTGTGTATTCATTTTAGAATTAAAAGTTACAGACCGTAAGAATTTGTGTTGTGTTATATTTAACCAATCATAATATAATGTTTTGTATCCGTTCTATCAAATGTCATTATCTTTTCTTTCTTTATTTTTAACTAGTGGACGCCCGCGACTTCGTCCGCGTGGAAGTCGGTATCCCGTGGGAGTGAGAAGTTTTCCCAGTAAAAAGTACCCTATGTGTTATTCTGATGTATAACCTATATTGCTGTAAAGTTTTATCCAAATCCGTCCAGTAGTTTTTTCGTGAAAGAGTAACAAACATCCATACATCCATACTTACAAACTTTCGCCTTTATAATATTAATAGGATAGGATATTGTAATGTAAAGCGATCTCATAGTATAATATAGTCAATTGTTTGTTACACATAAATTACATTGTTGCATAATGAATTACCATAAGGAATTATTATAATTATAATTATTATTATTATAATTAATTTCCTTAACCATCCATAAGGAAGGCCTGAGCCCCTGCAGTGGGGACGTAAAAGGGCTGGTGATGATGATGATAATGATAATTAATTACTCTAAATATATATAACTCAAAGGTGACTGACTGACATAGTGATCTATCAACGTACAGCCCAAACCACTGGACGGATCGGGCTGAAATTTGGCATGCATCTACCCATCTCTTATGACATAGGCATCCGCTAAGAAAGGATTTTGATCAATTCTACTCCCAAGGGGATAAAATAGGTGATATTTTTTTTTATGAAACTGTCAATTTTCAACCGATCGGGCTGAGACTTTGCATGCATAACGCTCCTATGACGTAGGCATCCCCTAAGAAAGGATTTTGATAAATTCTAACCCCAAGGGGATAAAATAGGGGATGAAAGTTTGTATGAAACTTTCTCAATTTTAAACCGATCGAGCTGAGACTTTGCATGCATAAAGCTACTATGACGTAGGCATCCCCTAAGAAAGGATTTTGATAAATTCCACCCCTTAGAGAATAAAATAGGGGATGGAACTTTATTTCAGGTATTTTATACGATATAATGAATAAATATTCGTTAGAAATGCTGCTCAATGTAACTATACCACGCGGACGAAGTCGCGTGCAAAAGTTAGTTAAAATATAAATTTCGTTACTTATTTTCAGTGACGGACTAGCGCCGTCGGGGGCCCGGGGCGGCACAAGGCCGGACCTACAACTTTTTCCAACCAGGTTAGAAACTATATTATGTTAGCAGCCCTCCCCCCCTGCTAAGACGCCTGCTAAAACTACGATACTATTTATAAGAAAGATAAGGCAGTAAAACCCCCCTATTTTATAATATGATCAAGGGAACTTGCAGCCTTTTTGAGGCCCCCCAGGGCAAAGGGTCCGGGGCGGACCGGACCGGATGTTACGTAATTAATGATTACGTAACATTCGCATTTCAATTATTGAATCTCAACTACTTGAATTTTACCATTATTTTATTTACCTAAAGTCCAATGTTATTAGTGCAATGTCTTCTTCACACATCAATGGTGACAGATTAATGATAGAGATAGAGATTCTATTGAAATGCTATTATTACATTAACATTAACAGAATTGACCTGCTGTACTTATGTCATGTTGTGGTCAGAAGAACATATTCATATGATAGAAGTTAGAGAAAATTGTTACAGTAGTCAAAGCAACACTTTTCCCCCTAAAAAGCACCTAGCTAAATTCACAATATAAGAAATAGATTGGAGCGTGCATCTGCATCGGGTTTATATTTATGTAAGTTTTATACCTTCTTACCATAATTATAATATTAAGATAGGCAAATTAAAATCAATGGTGGGCATATCTCAATTAGATATCTATATATATACGCAGAAAACACTTCAAAAACGATACGAAATCGCATAAGCCTATATTTATTAGTGTGTTCCTATTCAAACAATTTCATAATTAAATACCTTACAAATATTACATTTACATAACAGCAGGATGTTGCCATATCTATAGTAACATACGTCAGAATCAAAGTCCTAACTTGGTCTTTATGTGATGTCACCATTACTTTCCCACGCCTCCGTTTAGAGAAATTTTCTGTTGCCACTCATATCCTTGCTAGTGTCTGTAGTGAAAACACGGGTTTTTGAACCTATATAAGAATTGTAAGTATCTCTTTCGTATTTATATAATTATTTACTATCTTAACGTGTAATCAAAACTTACTAACACAACTTTCGGTTTTTAACATTTGTGAGACAGGTAGGTACGGGCCCTAATTCTTTACGTATAAACTTCTGTAATCGAGCGACTCTTCATTGCATTGCATTATAAATATCATCTTTAAAGTCCTGAATTCGATTCTGGGCAGAGTTTTTTTTTTATAGAAAATTAACTACTTTTTCTATTGTATTGGTTATGGGCGGTCACAGTGAATTCCGTTTTCCAAAAAAAGTTCATATTACATTTTTCATTGACACAGTTGAAATTACAGCATTACAGACTAATTATTTACTTATTTATTGAGAAAACCAACAGCGGTACATAAATAATATTTTACATAAAAACTTAGGTATAAGCATGGCCAATAATAGGTTCCCCTTATCATTATACTATGATACTTAGTATATTGGTGTTATAACATTTATGAAAATAAAAAAAGAAACATTTTAATTAATTAAGTTAATAAAGTTTATATACTATTGCAATACAGTGTAAACCAAAGTGATCTATTGATTTAATTTATTCATCCATTGCCAACTATACAGCTATCCTCATATTTAAATTTGCGTTTGTTTTTTGTAAAAATATTATTTTTTCTAAAATATGTGTTATACATATGTAATAGGTAAGAGCTTTTCAGTCTTACAGCCAGTCGCACAAACGTCAATTAAAATTTTCATTAGTTTAAAGTGACATTACTCAAACCATTTTGACATTCATTAAGCTTAAAGGCGTCATTAAACCATAATGGACGTTTGTACAACTGACCGTGAATCACAAATACGCCTATAAGTATCTTATAGGAAGTCATATGCTAATGATCTCATCAATAAAAGCTAAGCTACGTAACAATTTAACAACTGAAAACCAATCATTTTTGATATTTTTAACCCCCGACGCGAAAAGAGGGGTTTCATAAATTGGACGTATGTGTGTGTGCGTGCGTGCGTGCGTGCGTGTGTGCGTGCGTGCGTGCATGCGTGCGTGCATGCGTGCTTGTGTTTAAACTAACACGTACTTTGACTGTTAATATTTGTTTAACTGGATTAAAAAAATTATTTAAGTAAACTTCTTCAGAGCTATTAATAAACAAGATTTAGCGTCAAAGGAAATTTACGTAGGAATGTAATTTTAATATTATTTCAAATTCATATTATATAGAGAATAAGCAAACCAATAGAACCTCGTCCTAGGTTAACCTTTGCTAAGTCTCTGTTTATAATATAAATTTTGACTAATACTAAGTGGAATCTCAGGGTAGAGTTCACTCCAACACTATACCCTGTTTATTAATAACATTCCTTGGATTTAACTTATAATTTTAAACGCCTGCTATTGTTTGAAGAGCAATATTGTATATTTACGTAAATGGAAAGTGAGAAATTAGAGTCGATTAGCTAACATATCCTGGGTCTCGCATTCGATTTGGCGTTATGCCCTTGTTAGAAAAGAACAATTATAACTTAGCATATTTTTAAAGATTTTGTGAAGACACGAATTTTAATAATTAATTACGTTACGTAATAGATTTTACAAGTAATGTGTTTCACCTTGAGAAATTGACTACTTACTTCTATGAGAATTATATTTTTATATAAAACAGACATTTAGTTCTGAAATCTGGTTTTCCCCTAAACGATACTGGAAATACTCGCACGCTTACTACTTTCTAATTACTTTATAATTAATAAACAAATATTAATTAATTCAAACAATCTTTATTTTACACTTTTGATTTAAAAGATCAAATATTAAATAAAACTACTAGCAGCTCAAAAATCGCAGCTTTTCATATGGTACTTATCGGATAAATATGAAATATCGAATATAATGATATTTATTATAAATATCGGATTTTTGCGAACGCTGCTTTAAGATTTCTTATATACCTACTTTTTGTATTGTAGTATCTGATTCACAAGTGTGTCCAGGTTGTGTTTTTAGGATTAATTATCACACTTATAGTGATGGGAATTCACTTGGGAACTGTCACAAGTTACAATTAACGCATGAAATAAGTTCCCATGCCAAATATTGAATGTTTTAGTAACCTTATATGAAAATTAGAACAATTAAGAAGACGAATTGTGATAACTTCTATTTTTTAATTGTATTGAAAAAAAAACATTGCTAAGAAAGATTTTGTAAATAAATATAAAGTGAGCCTTTTATTATGAAATTGGGTACTTTTTGAGAACCATTAAAATATATGTTGCCTGGAAGAGGTCAGTGATAAGGCAGTTATATTGTTAATTAATTTTCCTTGTTACGTGTGATACTACATAATATAATGTATAAATAACATAAATAAATAAAAACGTAGACAAAAATAATTGACTGGTCAATGACATATTTAACAATTTACACTTTTTTTCAGAATAGCAAGTAAAGGAAACAATAATGAATTTACTAGAACAAAGAAATACAACAGTTTTATTAATAATCACATCATGTTTTTTCACTGCAATAAAAATGGAAAATTTTCAAGATGCTTTGAACGACGAGGCCTTGTAAGTAATACATTTAGTTCATAAACAGATAATAAGTATTAGTCAAATGGTGAAATTTGAAAATATTATTAACTCTATAAAATGTTCGTAATAAACAATATGTTTGTGTGTGTGCATTCCATTTTATTAAACAGGTGCAAGTAATGTAAATCTCTTATTTTGGCAGTATTTTAAACGAAAACTCCACTCATCAAGACATAAGATCAAAGACAGCTTTAAGTCCCAGGAAAATCAGATTCGAAGGTCAACAGTCATATGCTAATACTGATGACTACGAACTAGGAATATCTAATCATGGTTTAAAATTTGAAGATGAGGCAACAGATCGTGAACCAAACAATTCTGGACGAATTATTTTCGAAGACAATGGTATAAAAAACGTTGCAAGCACTGGCCTAAACTTTCAAGAGAATGAATCAGAAAATGTTAATCATGGAGTACCAAGCTCAGGCCAACTAACTTTTCAAGATGAAAACACTATAGAGAGCCATGGTATCAAGAAGAAAAAAAGGCGTAAAAGACGAAAACCTAGATTTCAACGACCTCAAAATACAGGAGGTCCACTTTTAGGTCAACAGAACTCTGCTGTACCGTTCCCAGGTCTCCAAAACTCTATAGGTTCCTTTCCAGCACCGCATTACCCCTTCCCAAATGTACCATTAGGATCCCCTTATCCAGGACCTGCATATCCTGGATATGGACCTGTAGGATATCCTGGACAATATTACAGTAAGTTCATTATACCTACTATTGCCATGTTTTTAATGAAATTGGCAAACGTTAAACATTATTCAAAAGATATAAACCTTAAAAAGTCACCAGTTTCAGATGCCTCAGAATATACAATTAATACCTTATTTTGTTAAATTTTGCCGTAATAAAAGTACTTAATAAATATTTGCGCCTACTTTTACAACCTTAGCAATACTTTGGAGGATTGCTATTTTAAAGCAGCAGGCACTATACCATTGTCAACTCATTATAGTATATATGGTTTTCAATGTAAAGACTTGAACGTTACTTTTAATAAACCCATAAATAAATAAAAATAAGTATATAACAATCATAAAATAAGGCCTTTTGAAATCAAACATGAATTCCTCGTCACTTGCTGTGACTCCAGCTACATAATGGTTTTTTAATAACTTTCATTCACAGGGTTATATATAGGAAAGCTAAATTAGATAACAATCGGAGTTTTGACCATCGATTGTAGCCTTAATAAATATTTGAATTTCAAGAATTTTCCCTTACGTTTCAAAAATAATTTCACCTTATTTCTTAGGGCCTCAACGTCGTAAGCAACCTTCGTTTACCTCAGAAGCCTTTTCAAAAATAACTGGAGCCCTAACATCAATAGCGCTTTACGACGACTACCAGTGCGTGCCGCGGCTGTTGTGCGAGGCTGCGGGAGGTGGTGCCTTAGGTTCTTCAGAAGTGTTACAGTCGGTGGCTGGACTGCAACCATTGCTCACGTAAGATGTATATTCTTAACATATTATCATGTATTAAAAAAAAACAAATCTAAAAAAAAGCTTCATATCACCTCTCATCATATTAAACATTTAACAGACCCAATGAATAATACTACGCAAATTTAAACTAGCATACTAACGCTACCTACTACCGAATCAATAATAAAACCTATTACAAAAAAAAATATTATTTGTGTAGAGAGACCATTCAAGTAAACCAAATCAATAAATATTAGCTTAGAAATAGAAATAATAAACATCGTATTAAATCATGTAAGATTATTTAAATACGAGTATATTAAATTAATATGTTGTTAAGTGCACTCAAAGCTTATGATATAATCTTTTGCATTCGCACCTACTCTAGAAAAACAGAATAGCATTGATCTCTATATGTAAATAAAAACGATCAAATCCTCTATTAGAAATATAAATCAAATGTTACAGATTGCTCTCGGCTTACAATGGAATCAGCAGCTCCCCTCTATTCGTGTTCGGTCGCGCAGTATTTCTCGGAATGACATCCAAAACGAACACAGCAGCCTGCCGATACGCGTACCCCCAATGCCCCACTGACCCCGAGAAACTGGTTCACTACCTCAACAATCACAACGGAGGCTTTTTCAGATTCTTCAATTCACCCCAACAAAATCCTCAAAACCTCGAACAATTCTACCAGCAACTGATGTTACAGGGGCAATATGGTGTTCAAAATCCACAGCCAAACTATGGCTACCCATATCCTCCTTCAACGCAAAATCAACTATTTCCTGATCAACATAATCAACAGCCTTTATCACAGCAGCAATATTACGGCCCTTATTATCCTCAGGCAAATCAACAAGGCTATGGATTTTCGCAGTTGCAGAACATTAATAAATACCCTCAATATTATGGGCTTTATAAACCACAAACAAATTTAATTCCTGAACAGAACAATGGCTTTCTTTACCCAAATTCAAAAATTGGTTACGATCATCTCCAAAAATATGGAAAGAATTATCCGTACAATAAAAAGTACGGCATAAAATATATAAGCTTTAATGATAAAGATGGAAATTCTGAAAATGAAATACAAAAACGTATTCAAAACAAACCAATCCATTACTCTAGTCATACTGAAGATACCAGAGTAGATCAGGAATTTATATTTCCAGAGAGTAGCAGTTACAACGAGGATGATAATAATAATAATAGGGATAGTAAAACTTTGAAATTTCCTGATGACAATAACAATTCATATTTTAATAATATTAACAACAAGAAACAAGCCAAAGCCATAGTATTTCCTGAATCTTATAACCAAAACTTGAACGAAAATAATTATTCAGTGAAAATAATCAATGAACATACAACTCAGCCAAATTTTGATATTACAAATGGCTTGTATATCAAATATTATGATTATTATCATGGAAATTCAGCTAATTTTAATAAGTACAATAACTTTAAAGGTGATGATGAAGGTATCCAAACTGTGTATATAGTGAGAGGAAATGGGGATCCGAATAATCCGGAAATTGTTAAAATTCGTCCAGGAGAAAAGGTTAATTTATAAAAGATTTTCAAAATAAGAGATGCACATAGACACCATATTTATACTTTATTGATGTCGTTCACTACTACAGAAGTTCCAAAACTACCGATGAACTACTGAAATAACTACTGTTATACATAAATGATTCTTAATGTGCCTTTTTATTTTTATATTAATTATCTTTAAGAAATGTATGAAAAATTCGTGACTATTAAAATCGAACATAACTAAAATAAAGAAAACAAACTGAATTATGACTTGACTAAATAAAATTCTTATTGCAGGCGGGGGACTTCTTAAATTATAAATGTTCCGCAGAATGGTCCCCGTGCCATGAGAAATTTGTTAAGCCAAGTCATGATACAGCTTGTTTCCTTTATTTTAGTTTAACATCAGCAGTCACATCTTTTAATTTCAAGTTATTTATTTTTATTTTATTACTTCTAGAATCTACTCTTCAAGACCTTTAATTTGATATACATGTGTGGTAGATCTGTTTTTAATAAAGACGTTTTATTACTACGGAACGGTTTTTCACAAAATTCTTCTCTTATCTACCAAAAATTTTGGTTTAGCCTATTCTCTTCCCTTTTGTCTTTATTTTTATCATTTTAGTAACCAAGTTATAGGATCAGCAATATCTCCTGGTTTCCAGGTGTCACTCACAACCGAGGGCATACCCAGGATTTTGAGTCTCCTTTCTTTGTGCTTTGACGTGCAGTGATCTTTCCACTGGAAAAAAATGCATTCTAAACATAAAATAATATTAATTGTAAGTCCACAATCCATAGCTACTTATATAGAAATAAAACTATCTAATAAAATTATTTTTCCAAATTCACTAAAAGTTATAATTGAACGATGATTTATTAATTCAGTCAACTTCTATTGAAGTCGGATGGTTAATATTTAAAACCTACATACAACCTCGTCTTGACTTCAATACAAGTTGGACGAGTTATTTTTCATTTTTATCTTTTTTGAAGTCGTTTATAAATAAAATAATTTTCTCATATACAAGTTTTCACATTAATGTAGTCGACGACAGTTTTCAAAAGAATAAACTGTAGTGAGCTCCGAATTTGAGATCAATTAATAACGCGACGACCTTAACATTACTTTTACTTTGTAAGGACGTTCACCCAATAAAATATCTCGGTGCATTTACATTTACCGACCGACACATGTTCCAACCGATGATATGACTTTAAATATTGTACTTACTAAAAAGAAACTAAAAGTATTTTTGCTCTTTAAATTACATAATGTCTTAAGATAAATATATACATTATACTCGTAAATCGTGCTTAACGAATTCAAATAAATACATGCTTATGATTTGATTACGCCTGTTTGTATAGAAATATTTAAAAAATAGTTCAATAAAAGTAAATTAAATTTAAAAAAAATTATAAATACATTATAGGCAATTTTAGTTTTATTTTTTGTGATGCTTAAGTTTAGAAAGAATTACACTGTTATTATTATATTATTATTTACTTATCGTAATGTATAAAAGCCCTCGTTGCGGGCTCGTTCATGACATTATGCCGTTTTTGGGAAAAGCAAGAGTTTTCTTGAGTGTCGCTACGGCGCGGCCTCGAACCTACGCCCCTCACACATAAACCTTTATTAATTTTTAACCGACTTCATCAAAGGAGGAGTTTGTTAAATTAACATAGTTTTGTTTTGTATTGAATGTTCCATTATATTGTATTCAATTGTAAATTGATTTTGATTAATTTTTATTTGAGATGCTATATTTTCAAGGTTGCTCTCTAAATATTATTGTCATTATGAAATATCATGATACTGGTCAACAACAGTTTTTTGTAAACCTGAACATTAGTAATTTCACATTTCAATTATCACATGAAAATACTGACAAAATTCTCACAAGAATTCATAATGACCACAAATGCAGTGAAGAAATTCAAGAAATTTCATTTGAAGCGGGGCGTTTGGTGCGTGGGCAACATTGACATGACTTGACCATGTTGCCCAGTCAATTAAAGATATGAAGTCATATTTACTTTTATGAAAGAAAAGAAAAACAGTTTTATGGATGTATGATATGTAAATAGACATGTCTGTTATGTCTATTTACATATTTATTTAAGTAAATATTTAAGTAAACGTAAAAAATTAGGACCATTTTTCTAATCACAAAATACTAATATTGAAGAAAGATCATTGCAGATTATTGAGGCCTGAATTGCAGCAACCGCAATGTTTTACAGAATAGAGCATTACTTAACTCTTACGATTTGACGTTCTAGCAAATAAAAATATTTATATATTAAATTTATTAATTTATTTATATATCCAACTTTGATCAAAAAGTTCTGGAATTGTTAAACGTTTTATTACAAAAAATATAAAGCATATAGCATGTGTTATGTATTTAATTTATTTACGTATTCAAAATGTTGAATTGTTTTCTTACATTTAAGATTCATCTCGTCTATTCACGCAATTTTCGTAAAAAAGAGATCCAGATTTTGCTTTTTTGAACTATGCCATAATATAAAGGGTTCTCTCTGAATTATCACTTTATATTGTCATAATTTAAATTGCAATAAAAATAAGTAAAATGTTATAATTTCAATACAAAGTACTTATTATATTTTAAAGTATAATTATGATTGATTAAAAAAAATCCTTTAGCATCGTGTAGAGAGGTCTTTAAATTAAATAATTTATATTTTTGGACGTCATTTTGTCGTCGGGTGTTCCGCGTATCGAAATAAACTTCGTCACACTGGTCGCACATAATTGGAAGGTCGCGGAGCTTCTAGAATTTCGGTTTGAATGTCAACAAATACGTGATAAAAACAAGCCTTAGTCAGGTAAAAAAAACTGTCTTTTTTCCTACCGTCATCATCAGTAGCCCAAAAATTCAGGGGCACAGAATTTCTTCATGTATGGAATCGTATCAAATACAATAGAGGGAGTTGGCCCTAATCCACGTGAGCTCAGAGCGAATTAGTGGGTGTTAACTACAAATGCTAAATCTATAATTCCGGGGACCAAGTGCTTTACGGTCACCCATCCTATAGACTGGCCCTTGCGAAAATTACTTAACTTCCGCATAGCATATCATATGGCTTTTCTTTTCCAATCATATGAGATCAGATAATCTTTGCTAAAAATTTCAAGTTTATAGCCAAAACATAATGTTATTCATGTAGAGAACAATAATTAAATTTAATTAGATAATTTAGATGGTTCCAGGTCTATGATGGCTTGAAAACTATCGAAACAGTGATGGTTACAATATAAACCTAGGGAGCCAAATCGATGAATAGAAAAAACAATGGGGAGTTGCTGTGGTGACCAGACTTGTATAATCTTTAAATTAGAATACAACTTCATATGTATCATTATACCTTGAAGGCTTGGATCATAGTGTTTATCTATGATTAAAGCATATTTTAAGGATACATTTAGCAGTTATCTCAAGGTATAAAAGAGTTAGATAGATATTTAGACTCAACACCAGTTTACAATTCCAATGAAGTGAAGCAAAAGATCTTTGTTATTTACAACCTCAAATAGTAACAAAATTCATTTACTTTTACTATTAGCAAGGGATGACAATGTCTGTCATGTCTGAATGCTGATATAGTCAGTTTTTTCTTTAACTTCCAACACATAATTATAGAACAAATATTTTCACAAACAGATTGTGTTTTCCAAAGCACAGAGAAGTCCGAATTCAAATCATTCTTCTTTATACCTAACTAAGCTTTCCGTTTGCGCCCACGTGGTCCTGTATTAAGATAATTCCATATAAATTTAACCCCTCTATTTCACCCCTTAGGGGTTGAATTTCTAATAATCCTTTTTGAGTGCTGACTAACATCATAATAGGAGCCTCTGTACCAAGTTTCTAGGTGCGATAGTTTCGGCTATGCATTGAATAGAAGTCAGTCAGGTTTGTCTTTTAAATATTTAGATATTAGATAGAACATGAATAGATATATATCGTATTAATCGATTAATTTAATTAAACGAATATGTAAACAAGTAAACTTCTAAAACGTAAGGAATTTAGCACAAGGACAATCCTATAACAAATACCGATCAAACCTCATATATTTACAATCCAGCAATGATCTGCGCTGTGACATAATATCGTCAAAGAAGGAACAGGAGCCGAATGTAAATTATGTTTCGTGGAATGCTTGAAAGACACCGACGAACGTGACCGCAGTACTGAACAGCGTATGATAATGTAGAGATGATCATGCGCATAATAGATAGCCAGATCATTCTTCTAAAAGCAGCTCGGTGGCGCAGAGAATAAACGCAGCGGCCCGCGATCGTTGTTGTTAAGCAACTTTCGCAAGGGTAGTTCACGGGATGGGTGACCAATAATTATATCTCGAGCTACTTCGTGCTTCGGAAAGCACGTTAAGCCGTTGGTCCCGGCTGCATTTGCAGTCGTTAATACCCTCCAATTTACATTGGCCCATCCTTAACCATCCATAAGGAAGGCCTGAGTCCCTGCAGTGGGGACGTAAAAAGACTAATGAAGATGATGATGATGATAATGATAAAATATAGGCATGTTGAGGAGCTCGATGGAGCAGTGTTTGGCGCTTTCCGTCTACAAACGCTAAGCAACTTTAGCAAAGGCCAGTTATAAGATGAGTGACCAAAATTTATTATTTCGAGCTCCTCCGCACTTTTGAAGGTACGTTTATTCGTCGGTCGCAGCTGCACTCACTGAGTCCGCTTGTTAGGTCATGGCCCTTTTCTCTCTTTTCGATTCAAATCAATTCACAAGGAAGGCCTGATCTCCAACAGTGGTGCTCATCTTTAATATATTTAAGATAAGGGCTTAGTGCCAAAATATCATATTTAAAACGAAATTACGAGACCGATTAATAAAATATTGAAAATCTCATTGAAAATTTATGATTTTCGTTAAGGAAAGGTAAAATTCAGGCATACTCGATAGGTACTTGAATGTAGCAAATAAAAAAAGTCTCGTCATTATAACAATATGTGGAGAT